ATAAGACACAAGGGAGTTTGGACTATATATACCAAGATCAAGAAAAGATATTGGTAGAAGGATTTATACAAGAATGTAAAAGACTTTGTAAGCTCATACACAAAGTGTTAATTATAGTCTAAGATTAGATATAGAAATAGATTACATTGTCTTTATCGACCTTTTATACATTTTTAATAGATAATTAATTTCGTAGTTATACTATCAAGTCTTTGGAATATAAAATACTTGGTTTTGGCAAGAGATGAAGTATCAAAGTATCTTAAAGGAAGAAATTTGAGAATCAAGACCACAAAAGAAGTATACAAATTTATATTAGAAAATATCTTTAGCAAATACGATAGCATTAGAAGAATGAGAGCTTATAGAAGAGATTTGGATGTTGTTGAAATAAGACAATTTTTCAATAGGTATGAAACTCAACTGAATATGACTACTTCTTATAATCTTGAAGCCAATTGAAAGAGTGAAAGAGATCATTTTTTTATTATTTATGCATTAATTAAGTTATATAAATATAAGACAATTTAATGGCCTAAATTGATTCCATTTGCTTTATAGGTTGATAGGACTACTCACAATATTATCATTGGTTATATGTCTATGGAGTTACTATTAGGACAAAAACTTATGATATGAGCTAAAGAAACCTATCCTACATGGATGTTTCTATCTTAGAAAGATAATATTAATAAAAAAAATATTATTGGAGCTTTAGATCCAACAATTAAGAAGATTAATTGAAGACCTACAAGTTACAACTGAGAAGTTAAAAGAAGCAAGATTGAAAAATAAAGAAAGATTTGACACAACTTATAGGTTGAGACCTAAGCCTATAAAGGTTGGAGATTGGATTCTAGTTTATGATAGCAATCTTGAATATCAGCATAGCATTCTAAAGAAATTTGCAAAAAAAAAAAATTTAACTATATATGGTAGTTACAAGCCATAATAATGCCACATATATCTTACTTGAATTAGATGCAGCTATCATTAGAATTTCAATAGCAAAGAAGGAGTGAAGGCTTTCAAGAAAAGAGGTTGGTGTTTATATTTTAAAAAATATTATTTCATAAAAATTATTCTATAATGAAATTTTTATTTAATTTTGGAGCTAATATAAATAATAAAGACTTTAGTAATATTTCAATTTTTTTCTAGGCAAAGAAAATAGAAAGAAAATCATGAAAATTGAATTTAAGGACCATGATTTCATTTTCTTCTTTTCTTTTGTACTTTAATGTATAAAAATTTAGTTACTTCATTATTATCTCAATTTTTTATATTTATATATATATATATATATATATATATATATGATATTTTTATTTATTTAATGTAGATATTATTCTTAATTTAAAAAAAAGGATTTGTTTTATTTTATCATTTTTTATAATTCATAAATTGAGCAAAATAATTTTTTTGTTGCTTACATTAATGTATCCAAAATTATCAAATTTCTGAATTTGTATTTTATCTTAACCCTAACATCTACATACTAATATCTGAATTTTAAAGTAATTATTAATATAATTTTTTATTTAAATTCTAAATTTGCATGTTTCTCAATCTACTTGTTGACAACAACTACACAAAATTCAAAGATTATAAAATTACAAAATCATACCTATAAATTAGGAAAAAAAAACTCATAATTTGCTTCAATATAGATTGTCTTGTTTTTTTTATCTTAATAACAATCTTTCATTATTGATAGATTTTTTTCTCACAATCAACTTGATCTAAAGAATTTTATAAATATTAAAAACCAAGTCAACTATTAGCTCAAAAAAATTCAATCCAACCTGCAGACTGCTCAAAATCATAGAGATCCTGATTTACCTTCAAAATCCAATTTCTAAGATCTTAACCTACTTGGATTTTAGTAATCATTGATCAAAATTTATATTTAGTTTTATATTTCTAAAAAATATATAATGCATTTTTATTTACAAATCTAAAAAAAATATCTGTAGTTTTATTAAAGAATACTCTTAAAAAATTTTAAAATATAACTTCTTATTTATTCTATAAAAAACAACTCGTACAAAACAACCTTGACTTTAAAAAATTTGTACAAAGTCATTATTTACTCAAATTCTTTGAAACCAAAATTCAAATGAGCCTTATTAAGTGTTTTCTTTAGTCCTCTCCTTTGATCAATATACAAACCTTCTCCTCTATTGTAAGCATGTAGTTTTGTATTTCAAAATTTGGTTTTAGACTTAATTTACAACCAATCCTTTTTAGGTATCAATCTAAAGTTTTTTTTAATAAATATTGGCTAAAAACTACTCTTTAGTTTCACCTAAAGATGCTTATAATATTATTTTGACTAACTTAATTTGTTTTGTCTTCTTTATGGCCTTATAAAATAAATAGTTTTTTAAAACAAGAATATAATATTAAAAAAAAAAATTATGATCTCTCTAATTTTTACCTATATTTTTTAAAGTAATTTTCTATTAGATTTTCTATTAAGCTCTTTTATAATTTAATCCTTATTATTCTTTTTTATCCAATAGTTATATTAAAATTCGACAAAAATACCAAAGACCAAAAAGTTGTTGTTATTACACCATCACCATCAAGTAAGTTTACACTTAGCTAATCTATGTAAGTACTAGATTATTGAAGACTAGCAAAAAGTTGTGTAGTTTGATAAAACCAAGATAAATTAGTTAAAATCAAATAGGCGGATTTGGTATTCGTTGTAAATAGAAAGAAGCATTGTTCAATAGTATTGATGAGTAACTATCAAATACAATGGTGGTTTGCATAAGGTCTAATGCTGCATAATTGTCTTAGGCATAAGTTATCTCACCAAGATTAAAGATAAGATAGATGCAAACTTTTACTACAAGATTTTGTACAAAGAGCTCATAGAGAGCTTGGATTATTACAATCTAGATATTAATGATGTGGTATTCAAAGAGAATAATTATCCAAAGTATACTTCCCAAAGAACAAAAGAGCACTTTTATGAATGTTGCTTAATAATAGTTAGTGTAGCCTCCTAACCTTAATTCAATATAATATTTGTTAGAGCATCTCAAATGTTGTTTGAATGTTCAATCACAAAATCATCTAGAATGTTGGAATTGTGTGAGAAGTTGGAAGATGAGTAGAAAGAAATCAGTTAAGAAGTTATTTCAATCTTGTAATAGCAATCCATGTTGTATAGAGGCATTTTTTAAGGCAGAATAAGGACCAACAAAGTATTGACTTACCAATCAAAAAATTGTTTCAAAATCCTCTATATGTATATTGTCTTACTTCTCTTTGGTGATGCAACCAATTATTGTAATTTTTACATCAAACATGAAAGTGTTAGTATTTTGTTCATTGTTTGAGTAGTAGGCCATTTGAGATTATAAATGAGGTTACAATAAGATAAGACGTGGCATAAATGCAAACATAGAAATAATTTTTTGAATCATTATAGAAAAAAGTATTAATTAGTTTTTGTAGAATTTTAAAAACTTCTATTATTAATTATTTTATTTTATTACATACAACGTATTGCTGATGCTACTATACTCTACCATCTATTTGACATATTTCTTTAATTTTTTGTTACTTCCATTCAAAATAATTATTCAATCAAATGGTTTAAAAAGATTTGACTGAAGAAAATTTTATTGCTTCAAAAGATATTGAATAAAGGTGGCATGTGGTGGATGGAGACTTGTAGCATTAGTAAAAATTGTGGTAGCATTAGCAAAATTCTTTATATATATATATATATATATATTTTTATATACCCACACATAAAAGATCAAAATATAATAGTTTTTATTTTAATCAAAAAAAATTAAAATTCATAATCCAATCAATTGTATTAAAAATTATGTATGATTGAAAAGAAGATATTTTGGATCTAACTATAATGGGAAAAAAAATTAAGGTGAATTTTTTAATTTTTAAAAAATTTAAATTTTTATATAAAATCTCTAATATTTATAAAAATACTAAAACTCATTTCTATAAACATATCATATAAAACAATTTGTATAAGTATCAGATTACAAAAAAAATCTATCCAATTGTCATAAAGGCACCATAATAAAGTATTGTAGAATATATATTATATTACAAAAATTGGTAGTTGGGAGCTTTAATAATTTATATTACTCTTTAAAATTAATAATACTGTAAATGATAAGAACAATATACACAATCAAGAAGAAATCAAAATAAATGAAAAAAATAAAAATAAAGACACTTCTATTAAAGAATGGCTAAAGACACTTTCATGAAAATTCAACAAAACATCATTTGTACAATTAATAAAAGAAACTATAAAAAACAAATTTGAAAAATTAAAATTAAAATATGATTTTGACAAATCATTTTATCACAATTATATATATATAATGGTTAAAAAAAACAAAAACAAAAACAAAAAATTGAAGATGCTTAAAAAATCTTTATTTAAATATGGCTTTTGGACACAAAAAATAATCTAAATACATCTAGTAAAATTTTTAAAATGATTTTTTTGTTGCTTTTATAAACAATAATATATATATATATATATATATATATATATATATACACAAAATTACATCTTATAATGATTATATTATTCTTATTATTGTTGTACAAATTAATGTTTCTTTGATACCTATATGTGAATGGTTTAGGGACCTAGTTCTAGGACCCCGTCCATTTGAATGAAACAACTACTTTAGATTGCGCACATGGTTGCAGAAATAAGATACAGTAGACAATTCTCTGCCTGGTAATGTGCCTCGTGGTGCCGTGCAACCATAGGTTTGGCATCAATAAACTACCTTCTTTAAACAACTCTTCGTTACGATTGATCTCGTTCAGTGTGTCCCAACATCAAAACCCAACACTCATAGCCCATCCTTCTGCAGCAGAGACCTATGATAGCAGTTGAAGTAACTCCTGCAACCCAGCGCCATGGAAAAACTAGAATAAAAAGTCCCAGTCCCACCTGACCTGAATTGCTCAACTCTGCACGACACAATATAAAACGCAGACACCCTTGGAGAAACCAAAAGCTTCAATTGTTTTCTAATTGTAAGCACCTTTATAATACTACTGCTTTTATCCATGTCACCGTCCTCCCTCGACAAGACTGATCAAAAGCATGCGAGATCCTTCACTTCGTCAGTACCCAGGTGAATATTGCCACAAATTCATGGTGAGCCTTTCCAAGGGGACTTGTGCTAGCGTAACAATGCGGTAGTAACATCACGGACTACAATAATGGCAGTACGACTCCCTCTTCGCAATAAATCTAATAACAGCGCACCAGGACCATGAGGAACATGACCCACGGTCCTTAAGTAATTCACTCTTAGAAACGTATCCTGACTAAAGCTTCAAAATTGCTCTACCTAGTGCAACTAGAGAGGATTCATCGCCACTATCTGGACTACGTGGTACCTTTCTGGAGTCCACGATTCCATAGCTCATGTTGCTCTCGCAGCCGCGTTGCCCAAGTTGAATTTTCTATGTATGAAGCATCATGCGGCCCTTGAATCACTCCTGCTAAAGTAGATGTGTAGACTGCATGCGCTTCAGGCTCAGGAGATAGCAAAGCTGCTTCCAACTCTTCGTCACTATCTTTATCAGAACTGGCATTCTCGTCCTCTTCAGTTACTCCCTGCTGAGTTCCCATTGGCTTTCGCATTCGCGAGCTTAGAACAGAGAGAGCTTCAGAGGCCTCTGCCAAATTCCCAGAGCGCATGTATAAGGAAATCACTTGGGAACAAGTGTGTGTATCTGGCGCAACATTACAAAGTCTCATCTCCTCAACAAGGTACTCGGCAAGTCCCTTCCGTTTCTGCACACCAGAAGATCACTCGAAAGATTAAGCACCAAACCGGAAACAAATCTTTTGATCTCAAAGATTCTCTCCGATCCGTGCGCTCTAGTTCTTGGCACGCAAGATGTTTCTGAAAAATGTAACTCATATTACCTACTACAGCTAAGTGCACATTTGCCAAGGAAAAGTGGTATAAAAGTTCAAATATGTCGCATAATACAAAAGAACGTCCTCCAAGAGGTTATCGACCATGCCACTCTAAAATCCCTGAGATTGAGGACAGGTGTCTTACATGATAGGATGCAGAAGCAAGCAAGGTGTTGAAAGTGGTAACATCAGGCTGCACACCTGCGTCTTGCATCTCTCCTAAAACTCGCAGCCCTGAATCTAACTCTCCACAATGACACATGACCTGCAAGAACAACAATCCAAGGTCAACACTCATGTGGCTACAGTCTCGGGCACTACCAGGAAGACACATACTGTAATCTAATTGTGAACGCTGTTTTACTGCTAATACAAGCAGGTGAAGCATCGTCTCAAAGACTAATAATGGAAAGAAACACACCTTGATAAGTGAATTGTAAGTAATCAGATCAGGAGCAATCTTAGCTTTGCGCATGATATCCATCAGCTCAAGAGCAGTCGACACACTTTGCTTGTGGGAGCAGGCATTAATGAGAATATTGTACGTGTAGATATCAGGTCTTACGTCAAGTGACCTCATTTCCGTGAAAATATCCCATGCTTCGTCAAACTGAATAGAACGTAAATTATTCAAGTTAAAAGAATTATGAAAGGTACGCCAATGTTAGTATCTAGAAACCTTTTGTATACAAGGATAAAGGTTATGACACACACAGGCCAGCAAGTCTATATTGAAACAAAAGAGGAAATGGAAGAAGGAAGAAAGAAGAAAGAAAGCGAGAAAGAAAACCCGTCCTCTTAAATGCTGCAGTTTACCTTCTTTGATTGTACAAAAGCATTCATAGCAGTGTTGTAAGCCGTTGTATCCAACAATTTCTTCCTGGTAGTAAGATCCGTCTCTTGGCAAGCACGCAAGTTCTGAAGCATTGCATCCACTATGCCCTCTGACCCAAGTACACTCATCTGCAGAAAATGTACATGAAATCTCAGGAATCCATTTTGAAGAATACACTTACAGATCGCTTACATTTGCTAAACTGAATATGCCATTGCACGATTTTTTTCAGTAGTGCATAACCTAAAACACAACAAAAACGTGCACAACTTACCAAGGCAGAAACGGATGCTGCTGTGTGATGTACACCTGATTGAGCCATATCTTTCTCTATAGCTATCACTCTCTGTGCAACCTCCTTGCGAGACCACGCATCAGATAAATCTGGCCTTCCAGACACAGCTCCACATGCACTCAGCAGAGCACAGTAGGTGTGACTATCGGGAGCCGTTCCCGACTCTTTCATTTTCGCGAATACTCGCAGTGCTCTCTCTGGATCATTCTGCACATGACCACAGATCGACACATTAGTGTAGCATGTTATATCTAGGAAAAAAAGGATGAAAATAAAAACAATTAATCGAAGAAAAGAAAACAACCACGACTTTTTCTTCAAATCTTCCCAGCAAATACTCAGCAAATGCAGACGAACGACGTGTTTCACCTTAGAAGCGCAAGCCTTAATGAGGATGTTGTACGTATAGATAGAAGGCCTTTGATTTGGTTTACTATCTTCCATTTTAGCAAGTAATGCTTCAGCCTTATCTAATTTCCCACTACGGCTATAACCATCCAAGAGAGTGGTAAATGTGTGTGTATCAGGGCGCACTCCGACTGCCTCCATACTTCTGACCTGCAAAAGAAAACAAGAACATAACATATGGTTGTCATCCACTTCCAACCCATAAAATCAGATGACGTGTCCTTCAATTCTTTGATTACAGCAGGTCCTCAACCTTTTCATCTGAGGACCTCCCTGTAACTTATTGAGTAATTATTATTTAAATGTAGAACAAGTGTGAAGGTCAACGAAATATCGAAACTAACTGTATTTAGTGATTCAAAAAATAAAAGGTGAAGCGGGGGATTAAGTGGAAAACAACTTGGAAAATAACCAGAAGACAGCTCTCAAGGAAAGCACTCTTAGTGAATTAGAAGCAGAGAAAGTTCAGAGAGAATCAGCAGTTTACCACTCGAAGAGCATGTGAGACGCCCCGCCCTTCTACAACAGCCCTCAATAGCGCATTGAATGTGTATATGCTGAGTCTCAACCCCAAATTCCTCATCTGTAAAAACATGTCAACTTTAGTCATATAATTTAACTACACTTGGAACATCACAGGTGCAAGAACATAATTTGAGCCGTGCAACCTAACAACAATGGACCTCTACATGGTAATTATTAAGTACCTCAGAGAATAATGATTCTGCTAGTTTGTGTTGGCCGGCCTGACCAGCAGCATTTATGAGAGCATTGAAGGCGTCCTGAAGTTCCTTCCGCACTTCCCAGTGATGAAACCCAGTCAAAGGTTGAGCCTCGCTCGAACCTGTTTCCAAGAAGTTTCCAAATTTAAGACGTAGGAGGGCAAACCAAGAACCTAGTATCTGCAGAGCAGGAACAATTTCTCCTGAGCAAATACGATGCAACCCTTCTTCTCACCAATGAGAGATACTAAACCTAGAGCAATGCCAGCACTACAAAGGTGAACAATACCTGGTATATCATGACCAGTATGTGGTTCTGAACGTCGCTCACTCTGACTTGAAGACAACTCTTCTCTCGTATCAGATTCTGTTTCAGATCTAGGAGGACGACTTCTTTTTCCAGGTAGAAGATGGAATGAAGAATTAGCTGACAAGATGTTAGACATTTCCGTTAGCGCTGTAAGGGCTTCTGGAAGAGCTCTTGATCGACACAACGCAACGATGGCAGTACAGCGAGATGATGGACTCAGTTCCCCTTTCGTGACAAGTTCCTCCCACCAGCGTTTCACACTCGAAGTGTCCTGCAATAGTCCTGAGAGCTGATGCACCGAAACCGAAATGAATCAGGCAGGGGAGAGACTCAGAATTCAAAACTAGCATTTAAAGCTTGATCGAATTACCCTACATCACAGCCTTAGAATAGCAAGACAAAGTACACTTCCACATACATTACATAATGCGTTCAGAAAAACACACTGTCTCAACCAGGTGTAGATGTCTATACCTTGATGAGCTCAACATAGGACATCTCATCTTTAGCCACCCCTTGTCTGTCCATCAACGCCAAACACTTATCGGCATGAACTTTGCTCTTGGCTAGACTGCAACCGTTAAGGACTGTATTATACATAACAAGGTTTGCCTTAACTCCTTTGCTTCTAGAAAGTACGGACAACAATTCCAAGGCCTGCAGGATCAGTTGAAAACCATTGAGATGATGAAGTGCTGGATCAAGATTAATTGCAAATGACAACGAATTAATAATGCAACTTTCTATCTGGCGTCATTCTTAAAGCTAAGTACTTGCAGCGAAAAGAAAATACAGCATGTTTCCAAGCATACTGCAGATCATACTTCATCCAATTGCCCAGTCCGGCAGAGGGTGCGCAGGAAGCACCCATATGAAATCTCGTTCATTCTCAACCCATTTCTTTCCATAAACCTGTAAACCTCCTTTGCCATCTGCTCCATCATTATAAAATCAAAGGAAGTTCAGAACGTACCGCTTAAGCAGTTTCAGCAAATAGTTCATGTAGGAGTACAAGCACAGCACATGCCACAAATATGTAACCGATAAAGTTTGAGTGCCTCTGAACATACGAATGATGCTACTTCATTCACCAAACATTTTGAGTACTGTAAATCTGAAAATTCATAGCCCTTTACACATTTCGCTACTGAAATATTTTATATATTTTCTGTACAGATATGCAATGAGCCTAGTCAGGGATTATTAGAGAAACAATACTCACGTTTAAGTTCCTGGCACGTGCGCAACTGTTGAGTAGATAATTACAATAGACCACTGTGGCGGGTCTGTCTTGTGATCCCATCCGAGGTAGCAGTCTCGTGGCAACCTCATCCCTCCCTAATTTTATATCTCGAGAAACTCGGCGGGTTAAATTATCTATCCTTTGAACACCTGTTTGTGTCAATCCTGCAAAACGGCATATTTCTGTTCACTATTTGAAAAATCTTGGAACGTCTATTAACAAGCATGAACTAGAGAAGACAAAGACTATCAGAAATCTCTTGAAAAACGTGTATGTATTACCATGCAAGCAAAAATTAGAACCAGACTTCTACGAGAGGAGACCCCTTAGGAAGAAAAGGACTGCAAAAGCTTGTGTAGGACGTTGACACCAAGTTATAACAAAAATTTCAAAAAAAAACAAAACAAAACAAAACAAAAACAAAAACAAAAAAAAAGGGAGGTATGAAAATAGCGACCCACCGAGGGCACTTTCGGTAGCTTCTTGTCCTACCGTGGACGAATTCTGTGATTTATGGGCGTCCTCGGTTATTGCAGCAACTGACTGAGGGGCCAACACTCTTTTCGTTGCAGAGAGGCTTCGCCGAAAAGGCACAGCTCTCAGCGACTTGTACATGGTGTGCAAGAATCACTCCTCGATTCCCATCCACTCACAGAGAAATGATGTCTAGAACCCACACCTCCACCTGAAAACCAAATAAAAACATCTCAATTCACTCGAGATCTAGCTGAAATGGCGATTGTATCACGATCAACCAAACCCCTCATTTCTAAAACCCTCAAATCATGTTCAGCAATACGTAGAAATCTCAGCAACAAATTGGACAGCAGAAAGCCCTCGACAACATACTCATAAAGCTCCTCACTTCCTCCAAAGACTACCTGCCACGTACATTTTCAAACCACTCAAGACAAATTAACACTCAAATTCTTCGAAGTTCACAACCCTGACAATGACATCATCAATGAAAGCAAACGTGACTCCTGCAAGCAGAGAAAACGGCTGCAATATTCTCTGTCGGCCGCCAAAGAGCTCCAGCGAGAGTTTTGACGTCGAGATTTACTAAACCCTAACCCCTGGATGGCAAACGGCCTTCTCTTCCCTGTCTTCCTGCTACACCATTCCTTCTCTTCTCCAACCACAATGGAAAAATTTCTAACCATGTATTAAACTCCCAATAGACATATTAACGAACCTAATTCACAAGTCCGTTTATTTCTGTTCCGACACAACGAAATAGTCATATGAACTGCCGTTTATTATATAATGAACTGGGTGTGTTTTGGTTTTCTCTTTTCAAACCCTTGATCCAACTGCAATCTCCGCCTGCATTCTGCAACAGACTAAAGACACACTACAAATGCATCGAAAGCTAAAACTCGATGATCTTCGGACTAAAACTCTCAGCTTCAATCGGAGAAAAATCCCAAGTATGAGAAGGGAAAATGCACCTGCTGCTGCTGAAGGCACTGAGCTTCTGTGGCTCCTCGGCGCAAAGAGGGACGGCTTCCCATAGCGCAAATTCAGTTGCAATCGGTCGCGCACGAGCTCTAGGAAATCTGAAGCCACAGCGGCAGGGGGTCCTGCGTCGAGTGCGGGAACGACGACAGTTATGCTTGGAATCTGTCACTCTTCGCTGCACCTCGTAGTCGAATTCTGACGAAAAACAGTCGCGGAGGTTGGTTTGGGTGTGAACGGGGCCGATGCATGCCTTTTGCCCAAAATAAATGAAATAATTTTAAATAAAACTGAAGTGAAGGGTAAAAATTTATTCCTTGCACTGATAATGAAATTGAAGATGGTTCAAAAGCATTTATTTTTTAATTGAAATTTAAGAATAGTATTAAATTTAATGAATTCGTCACTTTGATTTATTTATTTTTTTAACCAAAATTTTCAGTAATAAAGTTATAAATTCAAAAATATCTTCAGATTTTTTTATTTGATTTTGTATAATTGAAATAAATTTTGAGACTATATCACGTTTTGTTTCCCAGATTAGTAATAATCAGTTTTGTTTGACCTTGATCACGAAATTTATCCACGTTGATACCAAGTTTACCTCAACAATAAAAGTTACTGAAGTTCTTCATAAGAAGAATACCAAACAAAATATGAGGTGGTAACTTCATCAAAGTCTATTGTAACCGTTCACAAGAACAAAAAAAAATATGACATAAAAATAAAATTAATGTTTGATTAATATTGAATACACTTCATGAGTGTAGTGAGGCTTCCAATGGGATAACGAATAAAATCAAAATATCACGTGAAAAATAATATAACAATAGTCGAACTTTCAATTAATAAATACTGTAATACATAGAAACTATTTTGAAAATAAATAGTAAATATGTATTTAAACTTCCAAAATTAAAATACCCAATATCAAATTGATTTTTGTGACCTATTCCTACATCGATGGGAAAAAGGAAACAATGAAGAAAATTAGAGAAAAGGCCAATTTTTTTTAACTATAATGACAAAAATATTTGCAATAGAACAGAAATTAAACTAGAAATCAAGACAATTGACAGAGAAACGAAAGAAACATTAAAATGAGCATGTTTTACTTATTTATTCAAAAAAACTTGGTGATAAGTCTTGTTCAGAAAATTGTATTAAAAAAACGAAAACATATTCAAACAATAAGCTATTTATCACAAAATATGTATAAAAATCTATATCTAAATGCATATAAAGATGAATGTCAACTGTATTTGAAAAGGTTCGAATAGATAATAAAAAATGGGATACTAAAAAAACATCTAAAAATAACATGATAAATTTTGAAGTTTCAAACATCAATTTATTTAGTTATTATTTATTTTCATATTTTTAAGAACGCTAGAGTCATTTTGTTTAGTTCAGAACTATCCTTCAGGGATACTGTGTGAATGGGTTCGTGAGAGTGGACGAACGAAGTTTATGAACGCACGAAGCTTGGGGACGAACGAAGTTTATGAACGCACGAAGCTTGGGGACGAACGAAGTTTATGAACGCACGAAGCTTGGGGACGAACGAAGTTTATGAACGAACGAAGTTGGGAGACGAACGAAGTTAGGGCAGGAAGTGTAGCCCCATAGAGGATGGGAGAAGCCATCGCCGAAGCTCTCTTTTTGCGCTCATTCTGTCTGCGCTCCACCGCCATCACCTCTCTTTTACTTGAACTCAGTTCAAGTTCAAGTTCAACCGAAGCTTCGTCACCATGGTTCAGCGATTGACTTACCGCCGCCGCCACTGCTACGCCACTAAGTCTAATCAGACTCGCGTTGTCAAAACTCCAGGTTCGTGAAAATTGTTAGAGCTTGTGTACAGTATGGCGTATGATTCGAATCACGAGGATCACACACACAAAATAAAAAGGTTTCCTTTGTCGTTGTGGTACTTGAAGTATCTGAGAGTTCATGAGAAGTGGAATGTCTGATTGAAGTGAATGTACTGAAGGGCGAGCGTGTTTTGGAATGTAGGTGGCAAGAATGTATTCCAGACCGCTACTAAGAGGGCTAGGGGGCCCAAGTGCCCAGTCACTGGAAAGCGCATCGCTGGGGTAAGTGTTGCTTTATTGATTAGGAACTGCGAACTAGTTCGTCTCAATGTAGGGTTTAGGTGCTTCAGCGTAGGGTGTAAGAGAAAAACCGATGTTGCTACGCAGGATGTTGTTCAGAAAGAGTTCTTAGACGTCCTTGCCACTCTCTGCGACGCCAACAAGTGATGGTCTACTTGCCTCTCTTTCCTCCCGGTGATTCACAGTGTGTTGTGGAGGGCTAGCTGAGATAACTTGCCCGGAGGGTTTTTCCACGGGCTTAAATGTAGCTCTTTTTCTTTATTCATAGATGGCATTATGCGTAATTAGCTTTTATCGTTACTAATGTGGGTCATCATTGTTGGAGAAGTTGGGTCTTTTGGATATGGGTGTTTAATGCTTCCGTGTAGATTCTTCTTTCTCAGTAGGAAGAAACCTTGGAGGGGTTTTGGTCATACGTCTCACTTGAGATTTCAAAATGTTCGTAGATTAAATGTCACTTACCGCGATACACAGATTTTGAACCGGAGGAATTACGGGGAAGTTAGGGTTTATTCCGACGATAAGTCCTTATTCTTTATCAATTGAGATATACGGTACATTTACGTAGAGGAGGTTTTGCAGATTCCTCATTTGAGACCTACGGAATATAGGACATCCCGTCTTCACAGGCACAAGAAGACTGTGAACCGGGCCTATGGTGGCAACCTGGCTGGTTCTGCAGTGCGGGAGCGGTATGTGAATCACTTGTTTTCAATTCTTTATAATTTCTCATTTTTTCCAAAAACCTTCTTGGACAACACTGATAATTAAGTTAGAAATGTATTATCTTGTGGATATATTCCATTCGTAATGAACAAAATTAGCAAGTTTAAGTGAGAGTGGAGATATGTTACAAATTAGTATCGTGTACAGCACTGATGTGCCTCTTGAACTGTATTCCATCTATGGTGCTAGTACAGTTGCCCAACACAAGCAGTCTTGCTTCTGGATTAGTCATTGTCTGATTTCTTTTTAACAGTTCTGTTGTGTTGGCCTTCTGGGCATGCTTGGATCATGTTTTGCATTTCTGAACCAAGTAAATTTTGCAGCATCATTCGCGCTTTCCTTGTCGAGGAGCAGAAGATTGTGAAGAAAGTACTGAAGATCCAGAAGTCAAAGGAGAAATTGGCTGCTAAAACTCAGTCTTAAGTGGTGAGATTAGAGTTTTGTACTATTCAATGAGCACTTGGCGAATGACATTTTGTCGGATAGAGGACTTTCCATCCCTTTTCTTATGATCAATTGAAAGCTACCTGGCATTTTAATCCTCTTTAGTATGTTTTACCAGGTTAAGTTCTGCTTTGAATGACTGTTGGTCGAACGCTTTTATTGTTCATTTAAAGTTTGCCTGTGTCCTTGGTTTATTATTATAATTATTACAATTATTTAAAATCCTAAATTAAAAAATTAAGGAACCATTCAAATTTTACTTATATATGTAAATACATATATCTAGTAGCGGGAACCACAAAAAATCTCAAATTCAATATTCTTATAGATAATTCTATGAAGAAATCATTGATTACAATATGCTGTATGAACTAGCTACATAAGTGAGCAAATGTTAGAGTCCTTTGGTTCTTAAATATAAAAATATTAAAAATAATAATGATGGATTCATATTTACAACAACTTACATTTAGTGCTGCTTAGTTAGATTGAATCGACTGAAGTTTTGCATCAAGGTTCTAAAATCTCTCATTTACAGATGAATATTCATTTACATTGTAAGAAAAATTACAAATACGTAAATAAATAAATAAATATCATTTGAATTATTTCTAAATGGTATTTTAAAGCACAAGTAGATGTGTGTAAATCAAATTCATAGAAGTGTTTTTTGGTTTGATTTGATTTTTTTTTTTTTTGTAGTTACTGTTGCAGACACTAAATCTTTGAGGTTTTCAAAAAAAGATAAGCCATAAAGCTTAAAAAAAAATAAAAAATAAAAAATCTGCTTGATATTAGAGGTTCTTGAAGATTAGTTTCAATATTCTCTTAAACACTTTTAGACAGTTTTTTTAAAATGTAATATCAATGCATATGACATCTAGTATGAATTTATAATGTCAAAGCTGTAAATAGTGAAAAAATAATGTTATTAATTTTAAATGCATAAAGCACTGATAATTTTTTTACACTTCATTATGTTCAACATTACTAACATGTAAAACATTTCACATCTAAAAATAGAGGTTACGTGGATGTAATCGATAAATTTGATGTTTATATGAATATATTCTAAAACTAATAAAGAATGAAACACCTGAGAAAAAATGCTCCAAATCAGATTTCTTATTTGATTTTTTGAACCCTACTAATAAAATCGAACAAAAAATCATAATTTTATATTAAAAATTTCGATACTATACTGATTAATAATAAATAAAACTAAAATAAAAGCCGAATTTAAATTATTTTTCAATATCATATGTCTACGAAAGAAGCTATTCATTTTGTAAAAATAAAAATTAACATCATCCATCAAAGCTCACAAAGATATCATCTGGTTTTTAAAACCATAACTTTTATAAAATCTTTGTCAAAAAATTATTGACAAAGAATAAATTTTTGTACACAATTGTCAAGAACCCAATGCTCCAAGAGGTTGTAATCTGTCCCTAGCAACCTAAAAGATTACTCCAATTACACTGACAAATGAGCAGTTTCATGTAACACGTTTGAAACATAACTTCTAACTTGATACCTCAAAAGAAACGACAGAAACGCTCTTTTGTTCTTCCTTTCCTATGAATAAAATAACCTTCACTTGCCACATCACCCTTCGCTTTTGTTAACTTATTTGAAAACAATTTTCTTCCGCTAGTAGTGACATTAATTTACAGGCTTCACAAACGAAGAGCTCCTGTTGGGATCAGATTGTTGTGGCTTGACAAGAAGAATTACATGCAGCTACCTCTGTTTTTTTCCTCTTTCTTCTTCCCCATGACTGAAAACAAAAATATGGGTGATGAATCAAAGTTCATAAATACCAGCCAGTTTAATTTTCAAGCAAGTTTCTCAATGCAGCTTCTGCTGAGCAGGGAACACCATGCCCAGTTTCTTAATCTTCTCATTCGACAGTACGTGGGGGACTCCATTCTTTGAGAATCTACACAACACAGATCACCAGTTTATCAGTAGAGTTGAGATGTGGTCTTGCAGTGTACCAAAACCTTAGTTGAAGAGGGAGAAGCTGTTGCGCCGGGAAAGCAAAAAAAAAAAAAACACACTAGAAACATAATTGAGGTTGTTCAGTGATGGAGGAGTGAGTACCTTGAGGGGATTTTGCTGTCTGGGTAGAGCTTGCGGATGAGTTCCACCAGCTTCTCTTCACTTACAACGGTCTCGTAGCAGATGTAGCGGCCGGTTGCTTCGGTGGCTTCGAGAGCTCGGACGTGAGCCTCTGCAACGTCCTCGACATGGGCGTACGCAAATAAACCACTTTGAGGCAGCTCCGTCACACCTGCAAGAAAATAAATAAGTAAATTAGAAAGTGATACATTAGTTACTGAAAAACGTCATTTATAATATCCAACAAATTGTTAGAAAACTGCACGAGGATGAGTTGATGACCAATTTGAAAAAAGCATGGAAACAATGAGAATCACTATGTCGAAGCAAGACTAACTGTGTAGTTTCTAGTTCATAGCATGAGGTTCACAGATGGGACAGGGAAATGACCAACAAAATATGTTCGGGTCAAGGTTTTTGTGTTGTAATTTTCTCAAGTGGAAAGCTACTCAAGAGATAGCCTAATGACTTTTAGAATTGACATATTGGATGTTGTAAACAAACCTTTCAAATACGTGAAAATGTTTTGGGTGGTGCCGAACACTCTGGGACCCAGCACGATGGCAGGGTTGATGACGACCATATCCAACTCTTTGTCTCGTGCCAAGGACCACGCTGCTTTCTCTGTCATCGTCTTCGTCAGTGGGCCCCAAAGCTGTGAAGCAACAAACCGGTGTTAGCTCTCTCTCTCTCTCTCTATATATATGATCATTTTGAGATATATGCGTGTATGCTTTACCGCAGGGGATCGAATGAATCGGTTAAAAGAAGACGAAGGAAGCGAATAGCTGTACCTTCTTAGAGCGGCACAACTCCAAGTTGCTCCAGCATTTCTCATCGATGACCTTCTCAGCGTGCCGTTGTTGGTCCCAAACCATGGCAGCAAGCGATGACGTTAGCACGAGTCTCTTCACGGAGGAATTTGCGCATGCCTCCACAATGTTCAGGGTACCGCGTACCTCGAAGTCGGCCATCTCGGGCTGCACAACACACACACAATTGACAGAAACAAACATTAAAGCCTTGGACATGGCTAAGGAACACTCACCCTAGAATTCTTCATTCCGGTGGCTGAGATCCTTGAAAACAGGACCCTTTCAAAGAAATCCTGAAGTTTGATACTGCAGTTGACGAAGTAGTGATGTCGTGGGCGACTTACTGAGTAGTTCGAAATGACATCGCTGGGGGAGGATGTGTGGAATACTCCATCACATCCCATGAATGCTTCCACCAGACTTCCATAGTCCAGCAAGTCAGCTTGAGTCAGCTCAAGCCGTTGCTCAGCTCCAGGCAACGCCATCAAAGCTGCTGCCTCATCTGCAAATCCAAATTCCCGTCAAAAACCATCACCGAATTGCAACCAACTTCAGAGAAATCAATTCACAGATTCCACTCGCATATTCTCCAATCGGCTCTCATTGTACACCTACGCTTTACTACCCTGCTAAGATACTTGTTTTGTTTTCTCTATTACTTTCAAATCGTTGCAGACCCAGATTCTCGCAGGTCAAGCACACAGCATCCCTCAAAAGCGCGGTACAACTCAAAACGAGGTAGAATCTTCGCACTGTCACGGTTAGCGCAACCCTGAGCACAGAGTACGCAGCAAATCCACTCTGATGTGATACACAAGTGCATTAACAACTTCCTCAGATGAGGACTGAACCTTTGAGAGCCAACTGCATCGAGAGACTACGAGGGGATATGAATGGAGCTGGTTACACACCAACGGTGGTGCGAAAGGTGCAGCGCACGTTGTAGCCCTTCTCCAAAAGGTTGCGCACCAACCAAGACCCCAACAAACTCCAGTTCCCTGTCACGCACACATGTTTCCGTCCCCCGGTTGATGCCACTTCTTTCGCCGGTACTTCAATCCTCAGAGATTCCCACACACCCATTTTCAAGCTTTTCCGATGCTCAAAAAAGCACACACCCTCTCGGTAGATACGCTTGGTCCCAATTCAAACACTCCTGTAACGAACGAGAACGCTCAACGTCCAAAACGTCGCTTCAGTTACTCCAACCAAAACCTCAAAAATTCCTTCTCCACCAAGTCGAGATGCGCAAGAAACAATCTAGCGACCAATTCTCTCTCTCTCTCTCTCTCTCTCTCTCTCTTTTTCGTTTTCCTAATTCTCGATCTCCTGCAAGTGGTGAGCACGTTTTTTGTTGGCGAACCCTTCGAAAGCCACAAGAGTCACACCTCTCTGGTTCACCGAATCGGTCCAAACTTGCGCAATAATCAATCGTAGCTTCCAAGGGGGCACTGAGAGATCACAACGAACTGCGACGAGGACGTGAAGGGGATTGTAAGCGAGAGGATCGACGAGACTCAGATGGTAAAACAAAGGGCATGCGAGGGGGGTTTATAACTGGATTCGGAAAGCGAAGGCGGCCGCGCTTGAAGAAAGGAATTGAATTGAGCAGGTGGGTCTCATTGAAGCGCCGAGTGAGATTTGTCGTCATGGTGTTTCCAAGTATCTCCTGGGGGCATTCATTCCCTGGTCTCCAAGTTGACCAAACGGCCTTGTCGTCGTCGGCGTAGTAGCTTTGAGCACAACGTCGAAGACTCGGAGCGTGTCACAACGTCGCGTTTGGCTCCTTTTCTACAGGAAAGTCTGAGTTTCCCACTTCCACGTTTGTCATTGATTCTTGCGTCATTGAAAACTGACATTTGACTGTACCTTTTTGCATACTTCTGTTCATCTCACTCTCATCACGTTTGTGTGTAAATAAACATATATACTTAAATAAGTATGTGTTAATGTCGAGGTTTTTAGACTGGTCGTGAGGAGTTAAATTAGGAAATGTGGCTGTTGTGTTGTGGGTTTGATGTTTGTTCAGGTGGATTTATGGTAATAACAATGTGTTATATATATATATATATATATACATGATTGGTTTCAATAGAGGATTTCAAACTTGGCCTTTTTGAGTGATATTTCACTTGTGATGCAAGCTTGAACTATCCCATGATATTTCAAAATATCATGCCTGTGACTGATTTTTATTTTATGAATATAGAAAAAAAATCCTCACAATGGCACCATTTTACACTTAACATGCTTCTTGAAGAATACATTGTATGACATCATTTATTGAGTTTTTGGGTACTAAAACTTAGGACCCATGAGTTCATAAGTTGAAAACTAAAATCCAAAGTTGGGCATGAATACTTCTCCCATGCTAAATCTCAACCTTGGAGCCTTACTTTGAGTCATAGATTGAGCCATACTTTAAATGATATGCAAAGTTTCTTAGCAAGTGTTGTGAACTCTGTAGCCTCAACCTCAAAAGGTCAAAACCTGTTGACTACCTTTTTTTCTACAGGCACAAAAGGCCAATCCAATGGTCAAGTTCTGGGCACTATTTGCAGTCCTAAACCCTGAAGGAATGTGGATTCTTTCAGAGAAAGTTTGCTCATATTCAACATGTAACAAAAGCACTGTACTGATTCTCTTGCTTTTAAATAAATGTACAGCGGAAGTTTTGTTTTCTTTTGAGTGGACCATCTTATATTCTTTACAATCCAAAACATTGTATTTGAATGATGTGATAATACAACAATTTTGAAGCATTTTACAGTTAAAATAGTAATAATCTGCTCAACGTTTGATAGTCAGTATATATCTGTATATTGTTATTTTTTTGGTTGTAGAAAATTTCAAAGTTGTAAAATTAACATGAGTTTTGATGTTTAAAGTTTTGAATGTGCCTTAAATTATTTTCAAGGCCTAATATTGTATTTTAAGATACTTTAATACTCCATTTCAGCATAACTATTATTGCTTGTACATAAAAATAGTATTAGAAAGTTGTTGTTAATGTTGTTGTTGTTTGTTTGTTTGTTTTTTTTTGTTTTTTTTGTTTGTTTGTTTGTTTGTTTTTTTTTTTTTTTCTGTAAAATCCTTTACAAAAGAGAATTCAATTATATTCTAACAAATAACTGTTTCACAAAAAAATTTAAAGAGGTTACAAAATTAAATTTTACTTTTACAAAATAATAGTCAGTAATCATGTACATATTTATATAAATCATTCAATCAAAATATTAATGTAATTGATTGTATTAGAAACAAACAATGAATTAAGATTTAAAGTTTTTGTTTTTTAGATGAAAAGTTACAAAATATAAAAATTCAAATTGCAAAATAAAAGTGTGTAGAAATGGTCTTCAGAGTTCATTTTTGTACTCACACCAATAACCTCGTGGCTACAAGCAAAATTGGAATATTGTGAATAGTTTTATTTATTTATTTATTTATTTATAGCTAGTCATCACTAAATACGTAACACTGTTTTTTCGAAACAAACATTTTTGGGATTTTTTAAACACCTAATCTCCAGTTTTATGTTGTAGGGCTTTATGATTTTGCTTACAATTACTGTTGTATCTTTCCAAAATTAACAATATTTCATCTTGGTAATAGTCAAAAAAAGAAAACGCCGAAACTTATTACTTACGTAAAAATAAAATTTAACAAGTCTTCTGGTTCTATTCAAATTCTAACTTTAAAATATGACCGATTTGTTTTACATAATTTTAATTTTCATTGAGTTAAAAAACCCAACATCTCAAATAAGTTATTTTTTTTATGAAAGATATAACACCTCCAAAAAAAATAACTGTTTTTAAACCTTGTATCTAAAAATTGCTTTGAGATTCTATACTTTCTATCATGCCTCTGTAAAACAATTCAAACATGAACAAAATATTCACAACTCAATATTAATACATACATTGAGTATACTTACAATATTTTTGAATTATTATTGTAAGTATACAAAAAAACAAGATGTATAAGCATACTCAATGTATGTATTCAACATTGAGTATGCTTATACATCTTGTTTTTTTGTTTTTTTTTCAATTTACTCAATAGTAGAAATCTTTAGTACACACTTCATAGAATATAATATAGCTTATTCCAAAAAATTATAGACCTTTCAATTTCATTTAATTCTTTGTTATAAATGCTTGAATAAAAATAAATTAAATTAAATATTTTTATTTTTATTTTACTATTATATCATATAATTTGATATAATTTATTATTAATAACTTATTAAATGAATAATTTATATAATTTTTATATTTATGAATTTCTTTCAAAAACTAACTATTTACTTAACTTTATCTTTATTCCAGAATAAAAATGAAGTAATTTTTATAGAAATTAATTACTTTTTTTATTATGTTAATTTATACTATAGTAAAATGCTAAAAATATTTTATATTTAACTTTATTTATCTATTTATCAAATAAATTCCTTGAAATTACTAAAAAATATAAGAATCTTGTTCAAACATTGTGTGATGTAACTTTTAATAATACTAATGCCAATAACTAGTTGTATTTTGTTAACATATAAATTTCATACATGTGTGCCTTATACTAGTTTGAAATAAAAATATATGATTTTCCAAAAAAATTGACGTTCTTAGAAGAGTCACCTCATTTTATTGTTTAAATTGTAGTCATATTTTGAAATCTACAACTTTCATAAATATATCATAATAAAGAACTATCTCATATTACAAATTTTAAATATGTAACTTACTTTATCTCATTACTTTCTGAAAATTTGATATTATGTTTAAATTTTTAATTTAAATTTTTATTTGAAAAAAATAAATATGAATAGGCTTTGTAGAAAAGTATTTGGTATATATGATTTAAATCATTAACTTTAAACTTCAAAATTTTATTTAATTTTTTAAAAATTCAGGTTTAAATTGAATATCTTCAAATAATTATAATATTTAAACAAATTATAAATATGATATATTCTAATCATTTACAAAATGATAATAAAATTAGTATAAATTATATACAAAGACATACAAAAACAAATTCAAGTTGTACCAATAACACTTGTAAGTATTAAGAAAATATTATAAAAATATAGAAAATATTATATAAGAGTAAAAATTAAAATAAAATTATCTTTTTGAATATCATCCTAAAAATAAACAGTTTTTAAAAAAATGCTTAGACTATAGCAAATTTTTGTAGTCTTTTAAAATTCATGTCATCTTTAAAGGTGCAAAGATAAGAGACTATGAATCCTAGAAGTTCAAAAGATAAATAAAAGTATAATATTACATTAAAAACAAGACTAGATATTAAGTAGGTACAAAACAACATTTAAAAGGCTCTAAAATTTATATTGGTTAGACTAAGGTGGCTCTTGGCTTGCCATATCAATTCTATGATAGCATTGAGGTTCTATAGTAGTTTTTAAGGAAGTACAAGTTGTATAATTTTTCAAATATCTAAAGAATTTTTTATGAAAATTTCTAAAAGACTAGGGATTTTTTTACATAATTATATAAAATTATAGGAATTTGTAAAAAAATATAAACAACAACCAAAGGTTCTTAAAAACTTCTAGATAACAACCAAAGGTTCTAAAATTTTATGAAATTTTCTAAACACTTCTAAAATTTACAGAAATAAGTAAAATAAAATAAAATGGAACAAATTTTCATAGCATTCTAAAAATCTTTAGAATGTTTTAGCAAATGCTTGCAATTGTAGCTTGTTGTAAATATTGATGAAACATCACACAATTTAATTAAAATTACTAAAATTTTGTCTACAATGAAATCCTTATGACAAACAATCATCTTTGTATCTCTATTCTCTATAAAAGAATAATAATAATTTGATTATAAACCAACACAATTAACATATGAAATATCTACTAAATTTCTAAGAAATCATTGATTTGAGATAACAATACTTATTTTCTTTGATCTTGTTCAGGGCCCATTAATTGATGTACATCCAAAGCTCATTGCCTTTCTTGTCTACAACAAAGAAAAACGCTGCATGCATTAGAATTGCAGGCTAGTGCACGAGGGTTTAAAAGAGATATTGAAAGCCATACTTTAAAATTTAAATAAAATAAAATAAAAAACTTGTATTCTGTTGAAACAAATACAGAAAAAATATGACAGTGAAAACCACCCTATCTACAGTTATTAGCAAATCCATTTATTCAATATGAAAAGAGTCTACTGGACAGGCTTCCTAGTAGTGGCTTGAACATCACACACATATGTTTTTCTGTCCCTAAACCTTCGTTCACAGAGGATAAAGTTGGCAGTTTTCATTTCCTTTCATACCTAGTTTCATCTCCCTGAATTGTCGAGGTGTTTGAATACCGCCAGACTATTTGCTGTGCTAGTCGCAGATGTGTCCATGCTGTTGTTATTCTCGATAGTGGTTCACTCCAGAATATTAAACTGGTTCATCAGGTTGCATGCAGAAGCTCAAAATCAACTGCGGAGTTCAACGAGTCGACCTTGATGCAGAAAGAAGACATTAATGAACTCCACACATCACAAGCAGAGTTCATTTTGTTCTAATACATCTCGGCTCACGACTGGATCCAATCCCAGGTCATGACAATGTATTGTGGATTGGAGGAACTTAAGAATCCACTTATCAATTCCAAAATCAATTCATTGTAAAATGCCACTGGAACACTTCAAGCACAAGATGTCGCCACTCCTCAAAAGCTACCAGCGTTGCGTTGGTGAGGATTGCAGTTTCAGCAACAAGAAATCTGGGGCACTTGACCCTACCCAAGCATGGATTGTTTGGTTCTCTAGTGCGTAATGCTGGGGCTCCAGAAGAATCCATCGTTTGGCTTCTGGTACATCCCGATCACCATGTACCAGTTGTGCCTGTGGACAAGCAACGCAATAGTGAGAACAGCCACCAAGGATTGCTCATTGTATAAGAAAATTCAGAGCATATTTGAAGATCGACGTTTACCTAGTAAGGATGAGCTTCGTAGCTAGAGCCCACTTAATGAGGCGGGGGTAGTAAGCACCAGGGATTGTTAGGCTTGAGACATTGCCATTGTTCTCTCGAATAGCCCTGGTGATGACTGCCACCCACGCAGCCTCACTTGATCCCATTGTGTGGCCAAGCAGGAACAGACCGGTCGTGTAACCCCTGCACCTCAAACCGCAATGAAGCTCAAATTGCGAAGTGAAGAAGATGATTTATGAAACCCTGGAAATAAATCAATAGACATCGACTTAGTTGATGATGTGAAGCTTACAGAATAGTGCTATTGTCTTTTGTTGTGGCCACCCAACATTTTTCAGAGAATTTGGAGTGCATGTCTCTGATTTCGTCCTCGCGGTCGTACCCCATGGCTTTGCTGTACATATCTCCGCACGCCTTGATGTCGGCTGCCTCCATCTTTCGGGTGCGAACAACTGTTCAAAGATGCGTTCAAATCAGAAGTAACCAAGGATGGCCAATTTTTAGCAACTTTATTCCTGTAGCGCTACCTTATCATCGCTGAGAGTTGCAGGATTTGAAAACACCGTACAATGGGAGAATTCAGTTTCTTACCTTCAGTGGAAATCTCAAGGGCAGAAGCAGCAATTACACCATCATCTGGGTTGACTGTGCCGAAGAAGGAGGTGGTGCACTCAACGGGCATGAATCCCAGGCTTGCGTAAAGACAAAAACTCTTGCGGTTCGATGCAGACTACATCGTTCAACATAGAAACAATCACTTGAAAGTAAGAAAGCAACGACATGGAAAAATGCTCACCCAATTTTTTAGGAAAGGAGTCTATACATGTTGAAATCCTTATTAAATGTGCTGGATCGGGGCAATTGTGTACCGTGTTGAGGCGGATGGACGGCGCGTTCAAGCTCTGCGCATGCTCTACCACTGCTTTTGTAACAGTTTTCCCTATTCCTCTATCTGCTGCATCAAGACTCACGAAAACCGGCCCCACGCCGTGTGCAGAATTATCCCCTGACCCTGCACCATTCTCAAGGAATTCACAATCAGAAAATTCTCGATGGGGAAGATCTGCTTGATTGCTTGAGAGAGATAACGAGATAAAAGAGTACTCCAGCGTTGCCCTACGCACACCTAAAAAATTTCGGTAAATAAAACAACAGAATTGGACATTCAGCAACAGGAGCATAGTGCTGACCATGTTGGATTAGCACACCACCAACCACTTTTCCTTCAGAGTCAATTGCCACAAGCTTGTAGCAAGATGGCTGCGAGACGAAAGATCCGAGCATTCTGCTTGCCACCTCTGGAGAGGCAACATTGAAGGAGGTCGGCACACCCGTCGCAAGGCTGTCTACGTAGAAGGCCCTGTACAACACATCCCCTGCATCCTGCACATCTTCAGGTCGCATCTCTCTGATTGTGAACCCTGCTCCATTGTTGGCCGAGGCCATACTCCTGAATGCGCACTCTTCAAAAAACCTCAACAACTTACCGACACAAGAATCAAAAACACCCAGAGCTCCAAACTAAGAACATGAAATTCAGATGCCGTTTGCAGCGACCCAACTACTACTGCATCTCAACTTCCGCACAGTGTACTAGCGGTGGGACATTGGCATACGGGATGGTTTAGCATATGCTTAAGAAAGGATTATTCACGTTGATTGGTGCAGCGTATTTGGGCAATAATCGAGGATAGCAGCTGTTAAGTTAGCTCCTGTGTGGCGTCCCGAGAATGATTCCGACGAAATGCTACGTTTGAAGCACTGTCATAGTCCAGCCATAGTCTCTGGTTGACTCGAGCACAAATTCTACTCAGTCAAACTTTGATGATGTAGAGAGTCGGGGATCAATGAGGATGTGAGTGTAGTGAGTGTGTGCGCTTGCGTCACAATTCAAACTGGAACTGTTCATGCGACAATCGAGAGATGAAACCGTGGGCTTCGCCTCGTTGCGTAGACTGGAGAATTAAATGGCTTCTCTCGCTACTTCGTAGCTGAGCTTGGGGATGGTTTGCAATCGATTGATGTATGTCGATCCTGTACGTGGGCTCTTCTACATCCCTTACAGTCAAGTTTGAACCCAAAAATTAGTGAGAAGAACCCGCCGTAGTTCTCCTCCATCGTCTCTGCAGACTATGATATCAATTGGAACGATTGAGAGACGGTTGGAATGACGGCTACGCATCGATGACGCGTACAAACAAGAGAAGCGGTTCTACATTCTTAGTTAATTGCTTCATTAATTCTCTTTCAAATCGCAACATACATTGGTGGCTTAAGTGTACCTCAAAATTCTGGTTTATAAAAGGGTTACATCAGAAATGAATTGGGACATTTACGTTCTTCGGGGAATTTTCTCCTTCACCATTTCCCTTGAACGCACACTCCTGGTGAATGCTTTCCCTTCACTTAGTTTCTAGGAAGAGGCTGTACCCATCGTTCATGGAGGCACGAGGGTAGAAAGTGGTCAGTCTGGGCTCAACTTGAGAAACAGTGCTAGGATCTGCGGCAGTTGTGAAGTTTGCAAGCAAATGATGGATACATAGCCAGTCACCATCACACATTCCACGAATGGTCAAAAATCAACGTGGGGAGGGTGCAAGGAGATTATGCAGAGTTAGTGGACGAAGCAATCACATGAAAAGAAGCTTTGAAACAGTGAAATCCTGATTTGGTTCTCGCCAAAGTATTAGCAAACACGACTTACAAACTAAGGTGCACGTCCACCACGGGTAAGTGGAAATTTTGTACACACGTACAGAGTTCATAATCAAATTCTGCCAGCAATACACCTGTTTGAAGAAGCACTACACAATGACTTCCTCTCAAAGCCTGCACTAGTCATGCACGTAAACAGATATAAAATCCATATTCACGAAGAGTTAAAACATCAAGAAACCAGTCGAAAGGAAACACAAGTTATCAACAACAAAACAAAGCACAAAAAATTTAAAAAAAATTTAAAAAGAGAGAGAGAAAAAGAAAAAGAAAAAGAAACAAACGCACTACAATATACAGAATAGTATGGTAGATTGATAACACCGAAAAGTTGGAAATCAACATAATCCTGGAAACCTCGACGATTGATTCTGATCACTTCAAAGAGGTTGGTGTACATCTACAACATAACCAACTTGCACTGCGGATAATCTCAAGGATGATTGGCCGTGTATTAACAACACTTACGCGGAAGCCTCACCCATCTCCGCCTCGGCTGGTACCTCTTGAACTGGATAATAACTATAATGAAGTTCACCGACATCGTCACCTGACATTTTCTTCCACCCACCCGGTCCGACATAATAAACTGCAGACCAACAAAGACTTAAGAGAGAATTCTTGACAACAGAGACTGACTGCACAGAAAGACAAGGCAAAAGGCATCTGAACGATCTGTTGAGAAAGGAAAAGCATTCATTGCTTACCACTAACTACACCACCACTAGCTCCATCACGGAAAGTCGCATGGTAAATAGAACGACGAGCAAGCTCTACTGCTTCGTCGATAGACATATCCCAGTTAAAGCTGTAAAAAATGAGCAACAAACAAACATAGTCAACAAGTACAGAAATGAGTTGATGCAAAGAATGGCCATCTAAGATACAAAATCAAGAAAATCAAATGAAAAAAAATCAAGATAATAACCGTCCACCATGTTCACAGATCCTTGATCTGGATTTTAAGTGTAATTACCCTGTATCGAGTACACCATATGCATAAGTAGAGCCAGATCCAACGGAGAAACGTGTGCCCTTCACCCTGCCACCTTCACTGTCCACATAGTATAAGCCTGGACCCTGCAATCAAATTTAGGGTAAGTCCACAGGCAAAGTAGGTACAAAGGCTGAATTTCTCCAAATTTTAAAATTGGTATAATTAGACGACTGCAACGGAGTGCATGAGGTCCTTTCTTTACATCGAACATCAAACTAGCCAAACACCACTTTCAAAGAACTTGTTCGTAGAATTTGAGGTGAACTGTATTCCATAACAAGAGAGTCCACGAGAGCGAAGTTCAAAAATGATACAGCTGATTCAGTGATTATCAGAAGTCATGGACTTTCTTGTAGAAAGTCGTAAGCTTAGCTCTAAAGCTTTTTAAAAAATTCATTGTATATAGCAAGTCGATTGCGTAAATTACTATTTAAGAAAAAAATACCGTTTCGTCCCAGCCAGCAATCATAGTGCCCATAGATAGACCCATTCCTCTATATGAGTAAAGGGTATTTGCAAGCAACTTTGAAGCTCCAGTCACTGAAATGCGCCTCTTGTTCGCTAACTCATGCAGCCGGCACTATCGAGGTCACGAAATGAAACAAACCAGTTAGCGCTAATATCCTATACTTGAACATTGACTCACGTGAAAGAACTGCTAAGCAATTGTTTGTTTCACAAGCTTCTCAGAGCTAAGTCAATGATCTGAGTAAAAAGTATTTGTAAAAATAAACAAAAATTGAGGATCAGGTGGACTGCACGTAGCACATGCGAGAATCCTGCACAAAAAATCAAGATCCACAATTCACTGCGTACCGTCCCAAAAATGAAGAACCAAAGCAATGAAAGTAGGTTGAAGTACCCGAGTGCCAAGATTCCGTTGCCAAAACTGACAATCAGCGGCACCTCCCGCCATAGTGCCCAACAAGTAGGGGTTGATCTCCAGAATTTTCTTCACCGATTGCGAGGCTGCCATGAATATATCGATACCCTTATCAATAACATGTACCACCTAATCTACAAATTCGCATCTCATACCATTGAATAGTACATACTTGGAAATCCTGACAAACCCGCAAGCCATCGCTCAAAGGGACCAATCAGAAATATGTTTCCATTATTCTATCGAAAGATAGAGGACTACTCTTCAGCGATGACTTAAATGAAAAAACATAAGAATCAATATGACAGATACAACAGGTTTCTAATTCACTTATTAGAAGCATTCAGCAAGCGGACATACAAATGTAGTTGCCCATGCTGGCACGCGAGTCAGCAGCCACGATGACGCCATGCTTGAAAACGAAAGCCAAAGTAGTTGTACCCTTTGCTGGCTTTACCATCTGAACCGCTGCTTTTTGGAAACCATCCAGCTGCGTCACCAGATACAAAATCATACTGCGTTAGAACATCTGGTTGGATTAACCCAATATCCACCTGCCTCACAGGACGCAAAATTAGAGTTGAAGTAAAATCCAGAGTAGCACCCCTGCAAATGGACACGAAAAGAATCCCAATATATTCCTCCAACAGCAATAATCTAGGTCGAATTACGCAACACATCGAATCAACCAGAATCACAGTTTTTAGAACATTTTTTCTAATCTTCCCCTCGAAATTGACCTAAATTGACAAAAGAACCCTGCTGGGTTCTTTTCCCAAATCCTGCGACGAATTAATCATGCCATAAAATCCACACTGTAGCTAAAATACTCCAAACCATATAAACTCAATCTGCTACCGATGAGGGTACGATCGGGTCTGAAACCCTGTGCGACTCGCGCATCCAACGAAACGATGCACCATCATGCCCACAACCACTACAAAAAACCATAGGAGAAACCACTACTTACACAAACATTCCAAAACCCTAAGATCAATTCATGACTCCCGGCCTCCCCAATTGTTACTCCCCCACAACTGAAAATCACCCACCAATAAGCCAAACACGAGATGTGAAAAAACTTACATCAGCAACAGCGGGCAACTCGAAGCTCGGAGCCGCGTGCAACAAAGGCTCCACGCCATGAGGCAAGCTGTGGAGCGTGGGCGGCTCCAATGCGCTCAGATCCAACATGTTTCACAAGCTCTGCGAGAAATCGATTGGGCGACGCGAAGGATCAGCGCGCGACGGATCAATTGAGGATAATCGCAAAGCTTGGTGATTGAAACCCTAACGCGGGGCAGAGAAGGAGGCAACTGTGTGGGGGTGATCGCCGGGGACCAGGGGCTTTCAGAGTCAAGCGGGAGACATGGATGGATGAATGGATGAAGAAGTGCTCACCAAGGCACATCGACAAAATGGATGATATTCGTTCTCTTATTTGCTGTAACAATTATTGATGAAGTGCTGTGCTTGATTTTTATTTACCTGTGGGTTATTCGTTCACATGTAAATAAAAAATCACAAAAAAATCACAACAAAATATTGTAACAAAACGTGTGTTTGGAATACTCATAATTTGAACACACCAATTTCATTTACATTTTTCTTCATAAACTAGCTCAACTTCGATCAGTACATAGTTGAATCTTCACAAAAACACTTGACCATAATTAAATTAATGATCATATATATATATATATATATATATATGCATATTTATAAACTAAAAACAAAAAAAACCATAGGAAATAACGTAATCAAGGATTTTTTAAAATAATACTTACGCTTCAATGGACATAGAGCCAATTGCACTAAAAATTTTAAAAACAACTTTTTTAGTAAATTCCAAAATAAAATTTTCTAAAACAGAATTTTAAAAACAACTTTGCTTCATCCCATGACCAAACCAAACTTGGTTTCATCATCACCCTGTTATTTATGTATTGTGATTATATATTGTAGGCTTGCAATTTTTACTTTGAAATTCTTAACAATAATTTGTGATATGGCACTTAATTTCAGACATAAAAAATAAAAATAAAAAACATTTTTTTTTTTTTTTTCATGTTTTAAACAAATCTAGATATCATAACTATTCCAACTTATTGGTTTTGTTTAAGACTAAAATGTTAAAATGTTCAATTGCATTGAGGTGTTTTGAAATTTTTGGTTTTTTTTTGAAGTTTTATTTAAAAAAACCATTCAAATATAACAAGAAGGAATTAAAAGACCATATATATAAATAAATAATGAATAATAAATAATAAGTAATCAATAATCAATAAATTAAGAATAATAATAAAAAATAAGAAGAAGAAGCAAAAAATAATGTTCAAAAACTTAAATATGCAATGTACTTATAGAAATTGCAATCATTTAATGAACTTTACAATAGTATTACTACCACATATGAAGAATTGCATTATAAATCTTGATGCCTAAAGAATCCTAGGTCTTATTGCAATGTGTAAATAATATTGCAAAGACTATTAGGTGAATTTATTGCAATATCAAGAAGTTGGTGTAGAAGACAATACATAAAGAGCCACTCATAATGATATTAGTAATACTAATAAGAAAATTACAAAAAAATACTAAAAATTATAAGAAAAAATAAAATAATAAATGTGCCAAGGTTTCTACTAAATGATCTAGCATACAAATTTAGACAAATATAATATGTCACTACTAAAATAAATCCTTCGATGCTATTCTTTATACAAAGTTATATTAGATCTTTGATTCAAATACCACAAATTATTTATGTATTTGGAAAATAAATCACAATAGAATAAAATAAAAAACATCCTTTTAGGATAGTGATGGATTTGGTATTCATTGGCTTTATAAATGGATTTTTTTTTATTTGAGCCACAAATTGTTTTAAAAAGTATTTTAATGGATAATCAAAATAAATCTAGATGTCTTTTATTTGTAAGGTGTGACTTTAATAACATTATTAACTTCAAGAAAGGCCACAAATAGGCATAAGAAATACTTGTAAGGACTTTTGCAAAGATTGAAAAAACAAAGATTAAAGCCCCATCCAAACAATTGCAAGTTCTTTTGCAACCAACTTGAATACTTAGACCATTTAATATATCAATAAATTTATATGTTTTATAAAATTTACTTTTAGATTTATAAAATCATTTGAATTAGTAAATGAATTTATATACTAATTACATACAAGACCAAATCAAAAAGAATCCATCTTATACATTAACATATTATACATCTTTGCATCATATAAAGTCTTATTCATCTTGCAAACAAATATTAATTCTAAGGAGTTGATGTCTTGATATATTTTTTTGCATAATAAATATCAATAATGACAAGATTGCAAAGATAGTTGATCTTCACAAGAAAGATACAAAGGTAATTTTTGCCTCTTTTATGCCATAATTAAAATTGAGATTAGATTTGCCACTCAAATTGGACGATGAGCCATTGTTGTGGTAGTTGTTGATGAGTTTGGAGATCTACAAAAATATGAATTTGGAAATAATGACCAGGACTAGATATTATCATGTTGTAATATAATTATTAAATACAATATATATATATATATTATATTATATTAAAAATGAGCTCAATAAAAAATATTATAGTAAATTACTTTAGAAATATAGATAACAATCAAAGAAAGAATATGTAAAGGTAAATTCTACCCTTCAATCCAAATTACAAGATGGCCTCAATTAAGAGTTGCTTGTAATTGGTGGTATGAAGTGGAAGTAATAAGAACAAGAAAAAAAGAAGTACAATACAAAAACAATTGAAATAAGTGCAATCAAGCAATTATACACTACAAAACTAGTTACAATCTGTTCATTGAGTTTCATCCAATAAAAAATTAAATTTTAAATTTAAAAAATATATATTTAAAAAGATAATTATTTTTATCTTTTCAATGGTATAAGATTCATGTAAATCCGAATTACTATGAATACATTACAAAGGTTTAAAAATAATAAGTAAATAAATGAAAAGTCAAGTAAATAATTTTTACCTTAATGATAACTTGTTTAAGAGATCAAGAGTTCGAGCCTCACCAAGGCTCAAAAGTAGTATATGTGGGTGTCTAAGGAAAGATACAAGGCCTTAATCTTATCTTCTAAACTACTTTCAAGGTGCTACAACCTATATGAGACTTGTGCATCTCCCTTTTTACAAGGACTATACTAGCTATTGGTCCTCCTATTTTCTATTAATAAAACCAATATTTTTATATTTTTGACTTCACCATAGTGTTTAAAAATACCTAATTAGCCTAGGAGCCTTGTATGGCCTTCAAATCTTCTTCCATTTCTTCATAATGGTTTCCAAAGTGATAAAACTCATTTTTACCAAAGTCTTTGAAATTGCTCTAAGAATTCTTAAAAATTCTTAATAAATTCTAAAAAAATCTAAAAATTATTATAATATTATTATAATATTAATATCAATTTAAAGCTATATTTTTCTATCTTGATAATTTTTTATAGTAATAAAATCAATTTAAATATATTATAAATCCTACTTTTGAAATAACTAACTAAAAAGATATGAGGTTCTTTCTCATGCTTCTTCTAACTACTAATTAAAATACATAGTTTTTTTTATTTTATAACTAATACATACAGATATAAGGCCAATTTAAATATTGATCTTAATAAATAACCTTTAATATTCAATAATAAGTAAAAATACTAAACCAATTAAGATATTTGATTTCAAGACTTATTAAGATTCTATTTTTACAACTAATATTCTAATTTCTATTTGTTTAAGGATTTATATACTACTCAACATATATTATGGTTTTAAGTACTTTAAATATATATTTTTAATCTAAAACAACTAGTAAGTCAATTTAATAACTCACAAAGTAAAACTAATAAGTATTATGGATATACATATTTATCAAGATAAAAAGTGCTAGGTAGAAGATAAATATAGATAGATTTGATATTAACTTGTGTTAAAGCTTTTTAAAAGCTTCATAGACTTGTATCTGATTTTATACATGTATATATTTGATTGATAGGTTAAAAACTTGATCAATAAAATAGCCATGTATTGCACATGTAGATAGTTTGTGGTATAAGTTAATAATATGGCGCACATATAAGAAACTTATTTTGCAAGTTAAGATAGATGTCTTGCAAATTGAACACATATTAGAGGTCCTATAGAACATTGCCATGGATCTCTTAATTAGATAATATATAAAGAGATAAGAGTGAAGCCTTCTTCACTCTTGCCAACACCCTACTAATCCTTAGTCTTGTTTCAAAGCTTTTTTGTCTTCTTATCTAGTCTTTTTGAGTGACACAAGAGTAAATTGAATTTTTAGTTCTCTGAGATTTATATCCTTAATAATTTGGCAAGAGTGCTAACTTATTGTTCTTTTTTATTTTTAAAAGTGAATGAATTATCTCACTTTTATTAATTTATTTTAAAGATTATAGATTACTTACTTTGAAATTAATATTTAATTGTTTAACATTAATTTTTTCCTTTAAAGAAAAAAAATTATTTTTCTTTGTAGAATTTTTTATTTACTATTAGAAATTATGGATTACTTTCTTCTAATTTGACTTATAGATTTTTTTGAATTGTCTTTAGATAGAAAAATTATAGATGCTACTCTTAGTAGAAGTGAGAGTAGATTTTTAATTATTGCAAATCTTCATAAGCTTATCAATACTCTTAGGTTAGAAATCTCACATATTTACAACATGAATCATGGGAGTACCTATATCTATGTCTAAGAAAAGTTTAATAATAAAGTTCAAAGACTATGCCAAGTAGTTGTGCAATTGATAAAATTAAGTAGATTAAGTTCATGATCAAATCTAAAAATCCTTGCACTTATAAATAAGATGGAGAAAAAAATAAGTATGTTGGAGAAGTTTGATGGAATAAGATTAAATTTTTGAGAGTTTCTACAATAAATAAAGCTCTATATAAGATTGCATCTTTTTCAATATCTTGATGGATTTACTTAAGTCGGATTCATAAATGTGCTTTTATTTAGGAATATTCTTTTTTAGTTTGCATGTTTGATGAAAAATGATCACAACTATTGTACAATTTGAATTCATTCTTAGAATTCTTTTTTAAAATTCTTGTGCTTAGAGAAGTATAATCTTAAAATAGATTAGATTTCTTGTAGCCTTAATTTTTCTTGAAGTTTAGTCCAAGATTTTGCTAGTCAAGTAGAAATCCATAAGTCCAATACAACCAGATCCTTATTAGTATATATAAGAGCTTTCATGCATGTTAAAAGAGATATCAACTTTTTCTATATATGCCACACTTAATTTTGATAAAGAAAAG